GAGTAACAGAAATAGACTTTAATTATATTTTTCTGTATCCTCTTCTTATTTTTAAGTAAAATAATGGTTTTATGAGGGGCTTCTTTTTTTACCTGATTTGCTGGATCATAATAAAATGTATCTTTAAGATAAAATAAACGAAAAAGTTGTTGGTAGAGATGAATGTTCATGATGAATCTTTCTAAATTTGATCAATTTTCTTTTACTGTTGGGTTATATATGTAAAGGCTACATAAAACTTAATTTGGAAAAGGTCATTTGTATTTCTAGTTATAAGAATAATTTGTTATATAATATTTATTGAATAAATATTGACAGAAATTGGCCCTCAGCTTAGACCAAGTTCTGAGTTTAGTCCTTGAGGGTGTCAAATTTTGACCATTATTACAGTCTGCTGAGTAATATAGCCACTGTCCCTCCTTTGGACATGTCAAAACCAATATACCCACTGTCCCTCCTGTCTCCTGTAGTTTTTCAGTGCCACTGTCTGCAAACCAGACAATATAGCTGGTCTTACTGGTTTGTTCTGAGTTTAAAAGGTTTTTCAAAAGGTGTTGAGAGAATTACTGTTTTGTAAAATCTGTTTAAGTAAACAGTTAAAAGCTTTTATTTCTCAGAATATATTATAATTTGTCTTCATCATATTTAACTCCAGTAATGTATTTTTTTTATATCCAGCATTACATTAGTTGCTGTTTCCTGGTGTCTCTGCAGCTCCTGCTGATGGTTTAGATCMAAATGTAAATGTTTCAATCATCTTTATGTAAAGTAAGTCTTGGTTCAGTTCTCTTGGTTGTAATGTGAGGTTGTGTGATAATTTGAGTTTCCCTCTTACAAAATTCTTTAACACAATTACTTGAAGCTCTGTCAAAGAAGCTGGAGACTCTGGAGAATCAACTGGTGCCGAAGTGACACCAGAAGGCTGACAGGTGCTCATCCCTCACACTTGGAGGATCCAGTAAATACAGAGTTTAAACAGATGCCTTGTTGTTTGTATTCTTATAGTTTAATGTTCACAGATTGTTTTTCTCATGTTTAACTCGTCTTCTGTTTCATTCTGAATACATAGTTGTATAATTAACGTCTTGGAATTTAAAAAAAATCCTTTTTTAAATTTCTAAAAATTACAGCAGTTAGATCTCTGCAAAAAAAGTGTGTAGGGGTTTTAAAAGCAGCAAACCTTAACTTATTAAAAYCAAAAACACATTTTAAAACCATCTGTGCTAAATGTTTTTCTTCACTGTTTGTTAATGACACCTTTGTAATAAAATACTAATGAAATTTGAAGGTATTTCTGTCCTGCAGTTTTGTTTTCTTAAAGGAATTGAAACATTTACCAAAGGATCCAAAATGCCATAATTGACAAAATGACAACCATTACAAACATGTTGTTGACAGGTTTTGTTGTCACTAACTTATAATGTTCTGGTCTCATCATCACCTTATCAGAGGACTTATTATTTAAACCTGCSTTTTTGCTGTCTGTCATATTTTTATAGCCGATTTGATCAGATTTAATGTCAATTCACCTGTTTGTCACAACCATTGAGAAAGTAATGTTTTAAGTCCCACCCCTCCACATAATCAATGGGTCATTTCAGATAATTATTTTAGATGTTGATTTCTATTGATTCATGTTTAATTATTGTTCTGCTCTATGTTCAAATGTATATTTTAAGTAGGTTTAGCTTCAATCAGTTATTTGAGGCTCAACAGACAGTCATCTTCCATGTGATTGACAGTCTGGAAGTGTGTGGGCGGGACTTCAGCATCACCTCCTTAATGCACARAGGTTTCAAATCAAGGCAGCATCCAAAAACAGTTTTGGTTTCATTTCTGAACATCAAGAGGACAAGGATTCAATGATTATTCATCTTTATTAGTGTCAGTGGTCACAAAAACAATAGTTAAATAGGCATATTTTTATTTGTACTTTTTTCTGTCTATTTGAAACATTACAACCAAAACAAAAAAACGTTAATAAGAATTTTTTTATAAATTTACTTTACTAACATC